AACTGTTTAAATTGTTCCTAGAGCTCAAACTGAATGAGTGCAAATGACAGCCCCATTTCTCTCTAGTGGCTTTTCTGACTATAATGATAGGGTAAGACACTGGTTCATTCATTTCCTGGGAGTCCCATAAGACACATATTAATCTCATTAAGCTAACTGCAACTCATCTCCAGCATAAACCCAAAGTGACCATCAGGCATATAGTGAACACTCTCTGTTAGTACATTAAGTCTCAGTACTGCAAATTAGGTGGACGCTCCAGTACACTGTACCACCAAGCCATTTTTAGCTGTTATAGAATACTGGAATAAAATATGAGGAGCCAGCTGCCCACTTTACATCTTCTATCAGATTCTCTAACATGGATGTATGATCCCCCTCTTTCCTTTGGAGTAGCTTATGGCTGTTAAAAATTGCCCCCATGCCACCTTTTCTCCTGCCTGTCTGTTATGTCTCTTGTGCTCTCCTTCCTCTAGCACAGCACTCCACCATCTCTGTGCATCTAGAGCAGAGAGAATACATATGCACCAGCAGAAGACACAATTTTCTACACACTGGGTCCTAGTGGCGCCCCACCCCACCACAGTCTGGTACCTGAGGCGGCCGCCTCAGTTTGCCTCATGGTAAGGCCAGCCCTGGAGCAGCTTCATCTATGAGCTGGAGAGGTGGGGCTCTGATGTTACAAGGAGGAGGGAGATAAATCATTCTTCTTAACCACTAATGATAGAACCACAAGCAATGGGCTTGAACTGCAGCATAGTAGTTTTAGGTTAGACATTAGGAAAAACTTCCTGTCAGGGTGGCTAAGCACAGGAATAATTTGCCTAGGGGGGTTGTGAAATCTCCATCGTTGGGGATATTTAAGAGCAGGTTAGACAAACACCTGTCAGAAATAGTCTAGTTCAGTGTATCTTAACCATTTTTTTATAGAGTACCCCTTTTTCAAACAAAAAAAAAAAGTACCCTATTTAAAAAAAAACCAATTACAAGTACCCCCTGGTACCTAGTTTTCAGACACACACATTTTTTTTCTACCAGTGCAACACATTTGTTTAAACAGCTTAATTGTAGCTGAGTGGGCGATAAAATTTTTGGGTGTAAAAAGTACAAAAATAATAAAGCGCTGTAAAACTTAAAAAACAAAAATTCAGTTTTCTCCACATTTCAGTTGTGTTGACTACTCCCCAGACTTCTCTCAAGTACCCCTAAGGATACTCAAACCACTGATTGAGAAACACTGGTCTAGATGGTGCTTGGTCCTGCTGTGACTGCATGAGTCTGGACCTGATGACCTCTAGAGGTCTCTTCCAGTCTAGTAATCTATGAATCTATGTGCTTGTCAGAGGTATTTTCAAATTCCCAAGACTTCTAGCAAATATCCTATCCATATCCATCCTTATATTACTGGAGATTCCTAATTTTTCTCTCTAAAAAAAGATTTGAAATTTTAAAAGTATTTGTTTTGGATTTCAAATCCTCTTGCAGTGTTTGTCACTCAAACACTGCAGCACTCTATTAGGGCATGAAAGCCACTAACTAAAACTGACCATTCTGTTTTCACCAAGTGAAATGCAAAAAAAACGATCAAACAGCATTAACAGTGAAAAGTAAATGATGTCTTAAATATTACTTCAGCATTAGTAACCTTCAACATGATTAGGAACACAGAGCATGATTTTTTTTAACAGATCTGTGGTAATTAACTTATGGAAAATTAACTATAACTTTACACATATGGAATAAAGCAGTATAATTCTTGATTTCTGCCTTATAGAAACACTGTATGGCCAACAAAAGCTTTCTTTTTTGCTGTGTTCTCTGCAGCTACAAGTCTCATTTACTCACCCCCCCCCCACTCCCCCACT